ACGAAGCTATAGATTATCGATTGCAACAAAATCCCCTTATAGATTATGAATTAATGTCAATTTTAGATAATATTATTCGCAATGAGAACAGTTATGCCAAATCTTATGAAATGATGAAAGATGAAATTAGGATACAACAGCTAATAACAGATATGAGAAATGTTTGCATGAAAATACTTCTGAAATTCAAAGCTACCAGCGGTTTATACAGAAATTTTGCGGTGTGTGCACTTTATTTAGTATATAAGGAGCGTGGTTGCTCGACTTTGTACAGTTCGATTTTGATTTGTAATTTACAATGCTTGGACCTCCAAGGAAGCGTCATTTGATGATCTATATAAGTATTTTACAAATTGATTGTAGTTCTTGTTACTTAGTTTTTTTTTTTTTTTTTATTCGTTGTTATTATTATCATTATATATTTTCCTTTTTCTAGTTTGCGGATTACTTTTTTATGATTTGCCAGCACATTGCAACGGCCCTTGTCGAGCACGCGTGGAGGCTCCTAATGATTTCCACAATGCAATCATGGGTCCAAGTGCGGACCATCGGTATAATTGCAATTGTATATAAGTGCAATTATATTTGTAAACATAATTGTAATTTTGTAAAAATAAATATCTCTTTCTTTTGTTTTTAGATAAAAAATTTGTTTTTTAATTTCCTTTGCAGTCTTAGCCTAATATTCTAAAGCGAATATCTCGCTTCCCTCCCCGCTTAAAATGTAGCCATGACGTAAAGCATTTGGGGTACTGAATTATACGACAATTAATTAGACTTTTGTTGAAAATAGGTCATGTTTGTATTTGATTAGTGTTGAATCGAGAGGTAAGCTTTGTTAAGGAATAGGACAGTGGGTATCAGGGTAAATTTGTATCTTGACGTCTGTGTCGTTCAGGTTTGTGTGCACTGTTTCCAGTTGAATTTCTGCGTTTTGTTTATTATTTTTTGTCATACTGTCATGGTTTTGTCGTCCTAGTATCATTAGCAGGTGGGTTATTGAGCTGAAGAAGGCCCATAGTAGGTTCATAGACCAGCCATAAACCATGTGCAGCGTATATCCTCTGATGATGGTATCAATCGTCAATTTTATTATTTGCAGTAATTACATTATGATTACTGATGAGATTGATCCGCACGTGATTAGTTTGTTGAACATGTGATTCCAAGTGCTTTCAGCCAATTTCGCAAGTGTATTTTCTGTAAAAATGTTCTTTGTTGTTCCTTCTCCTGATATCCCACACAGCATGAAATATTTCACTGAAAGATTCAATGAAATATTTCAGGGAAAGTTTACAGAAATATTTTTACAATATTCCGGAAATATTTTAAAAACCATTCAGTAAAATGTTTCTTGCAATATTTCTCAAACATTGCCACAACATTTCATGAAATATTTCTGGGAATCATTCACGAAAACCTTGCAGAAACATTGCTGAAACATTGCAGAAAATATTTCATTGATACATTGCAGCAGCATTGCCTGTAATGCTACATGAAACATTGCCACAATATTTTATAAAATATTTCTGGCAATGATTCACGGAAACCTTGCAGAAACCTTGCTGAAACATTGCAGAAAATATTTCATTGATACATTGCAGCAGCATTGCCTGTAATGCTACATGAAACATTGCCACAATATTTCTCGAAATATTTCTGGCAATGATTCACGGAAACCTTTCAGAAAACTTGCTGTAACATTGCTGGAAATATTTTCTGTTTGGGAGAGACATGTTCAATTACGTGATTTTATATTAATAACTAAACAACTTACAATTTAAATTAACAAATTTCTTTATAATTTAAGTTCTTTTTTTTATTTTTTATAGTTCTATTATTTAAAATCTGAAACTTTGGATTACAGACTAAATGCGATTTTTTTTATATAAAACATAAATATTATTCCAGTCTTGCATCACATAATTAATAAATAAACTCCATTTGTAAATATTTGGTCATGGAAATTTTTCTCAAGTTCCGTATTTACTATACCTTAATGATGTACAAAATCCAATTCTATTTTTAAAGTTGAATCATTACAGGATTGTTTCGAAAGATTCCATGAAACATTTCAAAGAAACCTTGCGAAAATATTGCAGGAAGGTTTCGAAAAGTCACTTGAAATATTTCAACGCGATTTTTCGACAAATATTTCAGAAAACTTGCAGAAACCTTTCTCTGGAATATTATTTTTCACGATCCAAAATATCTAGTTGAAACCTTGCGGGAAACTTGCAGGTACATTGCAAGTAATATTTCAGGGAAGATTTCAAGTAAGTTTCAAGGAATATTTATGAAACCTTGCAGAAACCTTTCACTGGAATATTATTTTTCACGATCCAAAATATCTAGTTGAAACCTTGCGGGAAACTTGCAGGTACATTGCAAGTAATATTTCAGGGAAGATTTCAAGTAAGTTTCAAGGAATATTTATGAAACCTTGCAGAATCGTTGCAAGGAATATTTTTGGAAAGATTGCAAGGATATTGCTAGAAATATTTCAGATACCTTGCAGGAACTTTTCACGAAAATGTTGTCTGTTGAGTTTTGGAATATCTCGGTGAAACCTTGCAGGAAACTTGCAGATAATTTGCGAGTAATATTTCAGGAAAGATTACAGGGATGTTTGTGGGAATATTTGTAGAATTATTATTAAAATATTTCGGTAATAGTGGCTGAAACACTTCCTGGAAATGTTACCCCAATCGTTCCACAATTTTTCATATTACTTTTCGTGCGGCGAGTATAATCTCCTCGCTCGCTATAACTGAAACTCATCCCGATTTATGTAATGTCTGTACAGCTCATTATCATATCACAAGCTTCCTATTACAGGACCATAACCTAACATAAGCCCTTCCGCCAATGAGTTAATCAGATACCTCCGATGCTTTATAGCTCCCAATAACGAAGCTCGGTGTCTGAAGTGACAGCGTGTCGGCCTCCTAATTTTGCATCCTGGGTTCGAGATTCGCTCGGGTTGAAAAATTTTTTTTTTTTCATTTGCCATTTGTTTTTGCTATTTTTTTTATGCAGTACATAATTTATTTCTGAACACGAACGCTCGATAGTGGCTTCCGATGGCTATATTGAATTGCGCTAAAGCTCATTTAAATTATTGGATGCAAAATTTGAACTGTAATTTTTCATTGTGGTAATCATCACAATACTTGATTGTTCATTTATAATTTCAACATCATGAACAATAAGTTACGGTTTTGAAGTCACCCATTTTTTCAAATTGAAGATATTTATATTTTCAGTTAGATCTGTCACGTAACGTCGGTGCGATGATAATTTTTTTTTTTATAAAGAGAAATAAAGTGAAACAATACAGAGCGTAATATTCGCAGGGTACGGGGTACATGTGGTTCAACATTTCGTAAATGTAGGGATGTTTGTTTGTTATTTTACTTCAAGAACTATGCTCATTTCTGAGTTCTGCAGAGTTCTAGAAAACTTTCAATGTAATATTTTCGAAGCATAAAAGAAGTATTGCAGTATGGAACATTGTCAGAACATTTCATAAATATTGTTTCAAATTTTCCATGAGAACGTTCCCGAATGATACTGGAAATATTCCCACAATATTTCAAGCAAAGTTAACAGAACTCTCCAACAACATTTCATGAAATGAATCTAGCAACGTTTCTGCAAGATTTCAGAAAAGTTTCAATGGAATGTTTCCAAAGCCCACAAGTAATATTGCAATGAAACATTGTCAAAACATTCCCGAAATATTGCTCAAAATATTTCATTGTAACATTCCCGAATTATCTCGGAAACCTTTCTGCAATATTTCGAGCAAATTTAACAGAACTTTCCAACAACAATTCATGAAATGAATCTAGCAATGTTTCTGCAAGGTTTTAGAAAAGTTCCAATGGAATGTTTCAAAAGCCCAGAAGGAATATTGCAATGAAACATTGCCGAAACATTCCAAAAATATTGCTCAAAATATTTCATTGAAACATTCTAAAATTGTTTCAGAAACTTACCTGCAATATTCTTACAATGTTTTTGTAAAATATTCCATTGAATATTCCCATGCAATGTTTCAGTGCTGTGTAGGTGCATGTCCGAGCCAAGCTAGAAATGTTATTAGTCCTCCCAAGCCCGTAATTTTAGGTAATTATATGCATTGTATATTATTATAAAATATAATTACAAGTCGTACGTTATTCCATTTGTTTTGTAACGTGATATTGAATGATGATTATAGTATATGTGATAATTTATTTGATTCACAAGTTACAAGTTATTAAAGTTATTAATAAAAAGTTATTAAATTTAAGTAAGTTAACTTACTTAAAAGTTAAGTTTCGAAATATCTGGCAGCGTATTCAAAGCTTAAAGGGTTACACGGGTGCGAAGCCATAGATTCCAAGTCGTTGATAAACGTTGCTTCATGCAACATGCACCAAATATCCGATTCCAAACACCAGGTATAAAATAAAAATTTTTTTAATGGTGGACTAATGGTTGTATATAATATCTATACACACACTCACACACACACATATACACATATTTAATATATATATATATATTATATAAACGAGTTATATATCTATATATTATATATATAACTCGCTTTGGGGCATACATCGAGTCGGTAACTTGGGCTCTTGCTTGATCACCGAGAGAGGCGCTACTGGTAGAGGATTCATGCTTGACTGATGCTCGAGACTATAATTAGGTAGAAAATTTTTTTTTTAAATCGTCTATAATTATTACAGTATGAAGTACGTGTAACACATAATATAATAATAATTTTTTAAAAAATTATACTTTGTCGGAATGTTTTTTAAAAATTATTCAAAACTGTGTGATTTTAAACTGTTTTCAAACGAGAGGCCTGCTCGCCGTAATGGCTGCCGAGTGCGCGTGACGTCATTACTATACCGGCTGTTGATTCATGTGCAGTGTTTATACGGTGGACGGATTGTTGATCAAGATACACGCATGTAAAACATATTATTTTGAAAATAGTAGACATGAGTAATAAGCTAGATCCTGATTTCTTAAAAGCTGATTCTGGAAATCTTCCAAAAGTGAATATTTTTATGGTTTTAAATTACATAAAAAATGATGACAATTTCAATGATCCTGAAGTCCGAAATGCAAAAATGAATGAGTATGTATATGTTATAAACATAGTGTTCGGCATAATTATTTTTTATGTATTTTAACAATTTTGTTTATTGTCTATAGATCTTCAAGAGAAAATTACGGAGATGCTGCTATGGGTTATGTTTGCTTGAAACGAGACGGAGCTTTATGTATATTAAAAGCCTCAATTTGTCCTGAACACAAGGTTCGTGATACGCCGTACAAAGTTACTTTGATAGTTAACGAAAAAAGTAATACTGTTAACACGGTAGAGTGTGAAGATTGCCCCGCATCCCTTGGTAAATATAAAATCAATAAAAAAATAGGTAGTCAAGTTTCTGAAATGCAAATCAATGTTGCCTTTTATTTTCCTCCAAACAGGTGGCTGTAAGCATGCGATTGCACTTTTGATGTGGGTCAATAGACGGACTGAAGAACCTGCTCCAACAGAAGTTAAATGTTATTGGAAAAAGTCCAATTTAGCTAAAGTGACAACTACAAATAAGTATGTTGCAGCAGTTGATTTGTTTGAAGGTAAAAAATTACCTGTACCACCAAATGACATTGAACCAGAAAAAATTAAACACTTTTTTCAAACAGTAACTGAAATAGCCCAGAAAAAAAATATTGATAGTCAGATTACTCGACATTTATTTGATATAAATAGTAATAACCATATCAAAGCTGTATCATTGCATCAACTTATGATTTTGTTTAATGAAATGAAAATGAATGAAGCAGATGAATTCCTAAAATTTGCTGAAAAGAAAATTGAAAAATTAATGATAGTAGAGGTGGAAAAAGCAACAAAGAGTCAAAGTGATGATCCGTTATGGTATGAATGTAGGTATGGACGAATAACTGCATCATTAATTTATGAAGCTGCTCATTGCCGTACAGCCGACGGATCATTGGTGAAAAAAATCATTGGAGCTGCTAAAGTTTTTCTCTCACAAGCCATGCAGAGAGGCAAAGATTTGGAAAAGCAGGTATTGCTTAAAGTGAAAAAAAAGAAAAACATAAGTTGTAGAAGCTGCGGATTATATTTATTGTCGTCGTGCCCTGTTATTGGAGCCTCGCCAGATGCTGTTGGATCAGATTTCATCGTAGAAATAAAATGCCCTTCTTCAACTGATAATATCAAAACTTATTTGTCAAAAGGTGTCATAAGTGAAAAATGTAAAGCACAAATGTTTACACAAATGTTGTGTGCGAACAAAAGGAAAGGTTTATTTTGTGTAGCAGATCCTCTTTTTGAACAGAATAAAAAAGTAACTACAGTTTGGTTGACATATGATGATAAATTTACTGGAACTATAGAAAAAGCAACTGAATTTTGGAAGAAATATATTTTCCCTCGACTGATGACATCTGTATCCTGATGTGAAGTTTTCTTACATTAGTAAAAAGTAAACCTATCAAAATATTTGTATTTGTGTGTTACACTATTTTTGAAATAAAAATCAAAGAAGGAATCAATCAAGTGGCACAAAAGTGATTTCAATTTTATTATTTGTAGAAGAAAGAAAAATGTCCCAAATTTTTTATTAAAAAATGAAAAATTTATTTTTCAACTTACAGGTTAATTTCTTCATAAAAATTCAAAATTTTATTATACATGTCAGTTTTTACATCCAAACGTGAAAGACTAGTTTATTGTCTTATTATTGGTGACTGCAAGTTAACTAAAGCTGCTGCAATAATAGCTATTGAATCGATGTAAGGCATAACAGAATGATGCAAGTTTGCATGAGGAGACAGCATTTCAAATTCTCTCATCCTACCAATAACCCTTTCAATATGAATGCGTAAACTGGCAACACGTTTAGTTTCTCTTGATTCTAGTTTTGTTAGTTTGCTATTAGAAGACTTACTTGGAGGTCGAACCAACCTGCACTATTTTGCTGACAATAAAGTATCTATGTGTTTGAACCCTCTGTCAGCCATCACAGTACATTTTGGTGGTAAAGTTTCTTCGATTGTACTTATTTGATACAATAGTGTATCTGAAATTCTTCCTCCCCATCCACGAGAAATAAAATTGATAAATCCATCTGGTGAACATGATTTTAAAAATTTCAATGTATTTCCTTTTTTATATTCAGACCATGATAATGCTTGATTAGTACTGTTTGATGGCTTCTGAATTTGTATTTCAAAAGCATCTATAATAGCCCGAACGTGATAATAATTTGCCCGAAATTGAATGGGCATTGATTTTATAACTGTCTTCTTATCAGGAAAATAAATAAAAGTCTTCATAATATTAGCTAATTTGAATACTGTTGTATGAAAAATATTACTGGCTTTGGTTGAACTCACTCCAAATTGATGGCCTAATCTGACAAATGTGTCATTCAATTTTATTTTCATAAGCGTTAATTTTATGTCATCTGTACCGACTCCAGTTAATATAGATAAATGTTCTAAAAGCCAAAACCATTCAAGTGGCAGTCCTAAGTATCTTTTTGGATCAGTAGCAATAAAATATACAGTCATATTCAAGGCATTCCTTTTCCACACTAAATCATTTTCTTCTATATCTTGAACTTCTCCAGATGAAGGTTTATATTCGCTAATGGTTTTTGAGGTCAAAGTTAGTGATGATTTTTCATTAGTGATTGATAAACTTACTAAATCAGCGTCTAACCTCTGTAGATTGTTAACAGGATACGTTTGATTAATTTTTAATTTACTCACACCATCTTCAATATCACTGGTACTCGTAGACTTTTCAGCAGTTTTACATTTTACCATCACACCTAAACTGCGAAAAGGCGGTTTTCGGTTGACTTGAATTTTCTTGTTGCTATACTTTTTTGGACTACTATTTTTCAAGTTGATATTTGATTCATGACTTTCTCGAAGAACCCCCTTCACTGCTGATAAGTTTGAATTTTTTTCTTGATTGTCATTTGCGAAAATGCATTGCTTATCGACCTCAAGATTTTCTCGTAATTCTGTATTAGACTTTTGATTTTCATGTACAACTTTCTGTGGAATGTAAGATATATTTGAGTATTTTCCTTGATTACTATTTTTAAAATTACATTGAATGTTTACCTTTTGATTCTCTTGCAATAATATGTTCGACTTTTGACTTTCATTCAAAACTCTTTTTGGAATGTGTGATAAATTTGAATTTTCTTCTTCATTATAATTTTCAAAATCAAACTGCATGTTTTCCTTTTCATTTTCTTGTAAAGTTTTCTCCGGGATGTATGATAAACCTAAATTTACGTTTTGATTGTGATTTATAAAATTAAATTGCTTGTTCAATTGACTGTGCTGCAATACTGGGATTTTTGTACACAATAGACTTGATTTTTTCTTTCGGTATTGATTCTCACTACTATGAATGTTCAAATCTACTATTTCTGTATTGCCAAGCTCTCTTGTAATTTCATTTTTTGCATGTATTTCATTTTTTTGTCGAAAGCTATTGCTATTGGAAAATAATTCTACAACAGCTGCTTTGTGTTTGATATTTTGGAAACTTTTTCTTGCAGATGGTTTGGTAGCACTTTTGCGATTAGGTTGACAATCAAAGTAACGTGGCAATACATCGTTTTTCAATTTTATTCGACCTCCAAATAATTTGAATCGCATGTAGTTTTCAAGATCATTCTCAATCTACAAAAAAGATAGGAGACAGGTATTTGTAGGTTAGATTACACTAATTCAGTGGTATTACTTTAATTATATATGTTAATAATACACTTACATCTAAATGATCCTGGCAACAATAAAATTGTGAATTAGTTGGCTTGTCACCACGTCGTGCAAGTTTAAACCATTGCTGCTTCTTATTCAAATTATCGGGTATATACACGAAGACTTTGTCAGGATTTTTCTTTGAATTGTTCCCACACAATGGAACAAAACATGCTCTATAGCCTTTGATATTTGTTTTTGATGATACTTGAACCTCTTTTTCACTCATTGTATCAAGACACTTTTGAAAACAATCAATTTAAACTTGCAGTTCAACGCAGTTACGTGTTAAAATATCCAAGTTTTATAGTGATGACGTCACGGGCTCTTCTGCTAGCCGCTAGTCGGCGTTTCGGCGCGTTTGTCTCACGTTTGAAAAAGTGCACTTTTCAATAATTTTTTTTAAATGCAAATATGCGTTTAAAAAATCCAGGAAAAAAATTTTTATAACAAAACCTTATATTGACTATCGAATGACGCTATTATCTCAAACACGTTTTTTCCCTAATTCTTATACATGACGCTAACTCTCCTATTTATACAGTCTCCATGGTCATAACTCTGACGCTGGCGACGCCGACTTTTACTTTATCTAAGCTTTCAAAGAAAAAAATTTCATAATCCGTGTAATTATCCTGCTATAAGAGGCATCTGGACCAGATTCAAGTTTCAATCTTTTAACAGGTATGAATAGGTATAATTTATCTAATAATATCCATGTATCATTGTGAAATATTTTTTTTTTTCGCTCTCAATTCGGTCTCTTTCAACCACGTGCACATGCAATTAATTTTACTTTTGCTACTTTATTTCATATAATTTTTTATGTCGTCTAATAGAAAATGTAGATAAAACTAAACCAAGATTTCATTCTCTACAATTTTGCAGGTTGTGATTCCACTCTGGATATTTTCACGTGCATGGAATTAATTATGGATACCTAAAATTTCTATTATACGTAAAGCTGCTTCGTAAACTCTACTTGGATTTCAAGATTCCAACCGGTAAGTAATTTAAATTATGTAAATATGGCTTTGATTAGCCTTTATTTTTCTCTCTCTCTCTATCTCTCTGTACCTCTCTTTCTCTCGCTCTCTCTATCTCTATTTCTCTCTCTATCTCTCTGTATCTCTATTTCTCTCCTCTCTCTCTCTCTATCTCTCTGTACCTCTATTTCTCTCTCTATCTCTATTTCTCTCTCTCTATCTCTATTTCTCTCTCTCTCTCTTTTTTATGCTAGACTTTGAAATTCAAAGTTTTGTATGATTTCTCTATGCGGCTTTTAACGTCAAAAATCAACTCTCTCAATTTTGAAGTTGAGACAAAATAAAGTACATAGACTTGTTAAGTACACTAATATTAATATTTTTGATCTCTACACTTTTTCCTCTACCATCAATAGTTTTTTAAATAAAGCCAAAATGAGGTTTTCCAGTGCGTAATGACAAAACTGAATGTTCAACTATTTTCAACAAAATTTACAATTATTAATGGTAGCTAATTATAAAAATTATTTTATTATGGTATTTTATCATACTAATTACCATGCAAAGCCTTATTGAAAAATATTAACTAGTACTAAAGTTATGATTAAAAAGAGATATCATATCCAATGGGTGATATAATTACCACAGACTGATTAAAAATATGATATCTCTTTTTCATTATAACTTTAGTACTAGTTAATATTTTTCAATCAGGTTTTGCATGGTAATTAGTATGAGAAAATACCATAATAAAATAATATTTATAATTAGCTACCATTAATAATTGTCACTTTCCTTGAAAATAGCTGGATATCCAGTTTTGTCATTACGAACTGGAAAACCTTATTTTGGCTTTATTTAAAAAACTATTGATTGTAGAGGAAAAAGTGTAGAGATCAAAAATATTAATATTAGTGTACTTAACAAGTCTATGTACTTTATTTTGTCTTAACTTCAAAATTGAGAGAGTTGATTTTTGACGTTAAAGGCCGCATAGAGAAATCATACAAAACATTGAATTCCAACGTCTTGCATAAAAGATATGAGGTTGGGATTTCTCTCCTCTCTCTCTATCTCTCTGTACCTCTATTTCTCTCTCTATCTCTATTTCTCTCTCTCTCTATCTCTATTTCTCTCTCTCTCTATCTCTATTTCTCTCTCTCTCTATCTCTATTTCTCTCTCTCTCTCTGTATCTCTATTTCTCTCCTCTCTCTGTATCTCTATTTCTCTCCTCTCTCTCTCTCTCCCCCCCCCCCCTCTATCGTTTTGACTCTCTTTTCTCTTCTGCTAAGGAGCACCAAGAAGCTCTTGGCACTCATAAGAAACCAGAGCTGAAAAAATAAAGTATTTATTAGTTTTACAGTGGATATAATATGTTAAGTAATTTAAATTTGAATGATTGGAATATCATTCGAATTGAATATTGTTTGCCTGATTTTGGTGTTTGTATTATGGTTAGTGTTGTGAATTTCAAGTGCATAATCTGTTATATATTTCAGTTCCATTGCAGATTGCAAAAATTAATAAAAAACTTTCGTTGGCCATTTACAATTAAAAAAAGGATTACAACAAAGATATTCACAATATCCGATATATATTTTTTCATATTTAAAAAACGCATCTCATATTTGAAAATTGTGGTGATAAAAACTTTTGATTGCCATTTACAAAGAAAACAAGG